GGGGGGGCAAAAAAGGAGACGGGGAGAAGTAAAGGTGGGAGGTCCTCAAGCTAGCAGCAGAAAAGGGCGAACGTGCGGCCGTTCGCTAAGGCGCGCTAAGTGGTGTCGACAACACACAAAAGGAGAGTGAGTGAAGTGAAGGGAGAGAGGGAGACACTTTTCCGCAGAAGCTTGAGTCGAGGAGTAGACGCCCGCTGCCGCCCTCCCCGCGCACCGGCCGGCCTGTCCTGTCCGGCCAGCACCGCGGTGGCCCCGGCCGATCGCTCACGACGTCCAGCTTGACGCTAACTGGCGTACAGTCTGTCTGTCCTCGCGCGAGCGCAGCCCGGCGCTGCCCGGCCGAGGCGACCCGCAGCCGATCCGGCGTGAGAACCATAAGGAGGGAAGCGAGGCGCTCTCCTGTCGCCGGGCCGGGAGGAGTCTGCCAGAAAAGATGGAGCAAAAGTCTTGTTCCATGCTGTCAAGATTTTGTAGCATTTGTTTGTGTGGCGTTGCAGTGGTGGCACTGCACGCCCCACCACACCACCTGCAGGCCTGACCTACAGGACCCGCGGGGCCCCGCAGAGGCACGGCCAGCGCTGTTGTCGTCGAGCCCCGGGGCCCCGCTGGGGGTCGTAGGGGATCAGGGACACTTCGTTGCATGTTCTCATGACGGTGCGGCGGCGGCACCGAGGGCGAGAGAGAGAGAGAGAGAGAGAGAGAGAGAGAGAGAGAGAAGTAGTAGTACGTAGGTAGGTGCAGGGGCGAGAGGCGAAGGAGCGTTCGCTCTTCAGGTTGTTGCTAAATTGATCCAAGTGGCCTGCGCCGTGGCCGTGCCCCAGGCGGAGCCCCCCGCCGCACCCACAAGAAGACAATACGACGCGGCTGGCGCTGCTGCGTGACACGCTCAACTCGCACGCACCGCGCACCTGTGTGTGTGTGTGTGCGCGCGCGCCTGTGTATGCATGTGTATGGGTGTGCGTGAGTTGTCCTATACCTCCTCGCTCGCTTCGTTCGCCCCCCAACACGGAAATAATGGTCAATCGCTGCCTTCAGAGAGAGCTCTGCCCGCAGCAAAAGCAGTGAGAGAAGCTTGATTTATTCGAGTCCCCCGAAGCTATTTGCTTATTCAGGAGCTTTTGTCTCACGGGGCGCAAGTCCCCCTTTCTGGCCCGTGAGTGTGTGTGAGAGAGAGTGCGTGCGTGTGTGTGTGTGTGTGTGTGTGTGTTTGCATCCCAAGCCACCACGTCCAACGTATCGGCGGGAGGGAAGAGAAGGGGAAGAGGGTCAAGCCTCCTAGCGAGCCCGGTTGACCACAAAGACAGGCACCACTACTGCGACCGCCGGACCACCACCTCGGAGCAGGGCCCCAAGGCGCGCTGGCGGGCCCGGCCCGAGGCCCGGCGGGCGCGTGAGCCCGGACTCACACACTTATGATAATAATGATAACCAATCGATCAAAGTCGGATTAGCCCGGGCGGGCCGTCAGTGAGGGGTCCCGCGGGGCAGCAGCGCGGGCTGGCGCGGCACGGCGCGGTCACCACCGGCCCGGCTCACATTTCAAGGGCCGTTCGAATAACCGTCATATTTTTCGATGCACCTTCTATCGTATATATATGACTGCAGGTGCCGTGTCACGCGCCCGTCACGCGGGGTGTGACAAAGTCGTCGTGGTCGTCGTTGCCGTCCGTCCTGCGCGTCACCGCCACGCCACGCCGCAGCAGCCCCTTGCAACACACAGGACCACTGCTTCCAGCGGCATGTCCAGCGCGTCTGGAGCGCAGAGCAGAGCCCCGCCGGAGCGATCTTGTCCAGCGATAGCGTCGCGCGCTCCCACCCCTTTATCATTCCCCGCCCGCACCGCGGCAGCACCTCCTCCTCCGGGACCAATGCCGCTGCCACCTTCTTTAAAAGCGGGCCGGACCATTTACCCTTCGGATATGATAACTCCTTTGGAGGAGAGGTGTGGGACCGCGTGAATACGGATCCCGCGAACGACTTTGAGAG